AGCTGAGGCAATATTTAGGGTGTCCTGGCTGTCTGCTGTCCCTGAATTGGGATGCCCCCAAAGTCAGAAGGGACTAACTCTTCTGCACCCAGGATCTCATGTGGGAACTGGTTATCCCTGAGTTCCTATCCATTTCCCCTGAGATATTTAGAGGGATAAACATCAGCACCTCAGCCAGGAGCAGTCCTGAAGGATTGCTGTGGCCTAAAGAACTCCCCTGGGGTTTTTGGGTGTGCTGGGCACAGCTGGAACATGGGGAGGGCTTTGCAGTGTGTGCAGCAGTGCCCAGCACAGATCACAGTCTGCATTCGTGCATGGGGAAGATTTGCTCTGGATAAGCAGCAAAAAGAACAGCTCAGCAAGCTCTAACAGGCACCAGCTCACTTGGTGAGAATCCTCTCTCACCAGGATTCTCAAAACCCTGAGACACTTGGAGTGATGTGACTGAGCTGCTGACAGTGCTGGCAGTTTGGGATGTGTCAGTGCCACCAGGGAGCCAAGAAAAGGCACGGGCTCCTTCTCTTCATCTGGCATTGACTTTTCACCTTCAAGTCTCTTGGTTCTTGTGCCTCCCAAATACAGTTCCTGCACATGGGGTGGAAAGAAATGTGCTCTTGTTCTTGCATGCCCAACTTTTATTTAATTCAAAGAAATGAGTGTGGACTGGTGAAACACAGTTAGGGAGAGCTCACTCATGAGGAGCTGATTTCCCAAGTAACCTATTGTAAGGATGGGGGGAGTTTTATGGGTTGGCTCCCACTGAACACCTCAAGCACTGAAGGGCACGAAGACAAAGGGAATTTATGGGACTGAGCAGGAAATGGAAAGCACTGCCCCAGGCAGGTGCCCTTGATCAGGACATGCAGAAGCTGCTCGTTGGGAAATGTCCCTTATCTGCATTCTGCCAGGCACACAACCATTTATCCCCCAGTGCAAAGGAGGAGGTCACAGGAACCAGGGAATCCTGGAGGAAGGGTAGAGCCAATGTGTGACTAAGTGCTCCAGATGCAGCTGTGGAATTTATCATCCATGGGCAGGTTAAACAGAACAAATATGCACAGGCAATGCTCAAATTGTTTGAGCAGCAAAATTACCTTGTGTTTAGTAACGGTGGGGGAGCTGTGAACACAAGATACCAACTGTTAAGGATGTTTTCTGAATCATTTTTATCCATTTATTACTATGAAAAATTAAACTTAAATCTGAATGGCTTGTCTATTATGGGTCATTTCTCTTCTCATAATTGTGCAAAATGCTGCCAAAGACATTTTTAGGGTCTATATAGCACTGTAACATGGTTGTAGTGATTTATCAGCATTCCTGTGTCCATACCTGCTGTAATTTGTATGGAAATTTTGATGTGGAAATGGCTGGAGAAGGAGTAATAGGGAAGAAAGAAAGGAAAATGTGACTTCTATTTGCTATTTGCTTGTGTGACAATTTATGAGCCAGTCAAAGCCTCAACTCCAGTTCCACTGTCCTTCAGAGATGTCCAACTGTTTGTTTTCAGCAGAAGTTATGGCCAGGTCTCCATAATGTTATCATTCAACAGCAGATGCAGCTTTAAAACTATTTACAAGGTTTATTCATCTGTGCAGGAATGAGGTGAATCTGTAAAAAGGAATTTCCAACGATTTTGTAGGAAGTGCTGGAATTAGTTCTTCCATTTTTAGTAGCAGTAGTTTAGGGACCTATATGGTGATTTCTGGTAATAAGTTTGTTTCTGCCTATAAGACAGAAATGTCAGATGTCTTGTAAGATTTGAAATGGCTTTAAAAGGTCTTACTGCTTTTTAGTTCTAAGCTGCTTTTTCTTAAAAAGCCTGAACAGATTAGCAAAATTGGAGTTTCTGTTTTCTTGCATGAACAAAAGAATAAAGAACATCAAGGGTTTTGTATTATTAATTCTTTAAGTTTTAAAGGCCTCTACATCATAAAACAGGTTAGGATTCCACCACACAGTGGGATTCAGTTGAAGTGGAACAGTTTAAGTGAACTTCAAAAAATGTTTTGTCCAAGGAAGAAGTTCTGGTAATGCAGGGACAGAGATTTCTCCTACATATTCTGGAGAGCTTTTTCTTGTGCAGTTCTTGTCAGTAAAATCTTTTCTGTAGACTCAGAGTTGTCAAATATGATTTATTTCCGAGTCTCAGCCATATTTTTTCCCACTCCTCCTGCACTTTTCAATTGTTTGTGATCTTTGTCATGCCCAGCTCTCAAGGGTTTGGGAGTGACTTGTACAGTCAATGAAATAATAGGACAGGTGAGGCCAGTCTAGCATGACTTGCAACAATTTCCTTTTATGAACCGGCAGTTGCTGGATACACTACTCTGCTTCTTGACTGGGGGAACACACACCACAGACTCCACAGTTACAGAAAAAGAAAACCACTGACAGCCACAAATAACACCTTTCTGGAGGCTCTGTGGCTTTGGGATGGGCTGTGCCCTGCACATAAGCTGAAGACCTGCAGTTTAAATTCAGACTTTAGTTCTTGGCAGTAACTCATTGTGGTTAAAATTATCACCACAGAATTAGAATTTCCAGGATCATCAATGCAATATGAAAACTTTGGTTGTCTTTCTTTTCGTCTTCCCTTTCCAAATCAAATCTTGCTAAAGACACTTCCTTTACAGATCCAAACATCGTGATTCCATACTCAGAAGGAGTAGGTGAGAGTGGTCACTAACAATTGCTGTAAAAATTCAGCTTCTTCCTGCATTGGTTACTCTTTGGTGCTTCCTGACCAGAAAAGAATCACCCATGTAATTATTTACTTATGTCCTGAAATATTTCTGTACTTCAGGATTGGAAATCCTTCCCGTTGCTTTTCTATCTCTACTCAGTTTGTTGTTGTTCAGTTCAGGAGCTCCTTAAATCTGATGTTGTGACTGGAATTCTTGGTTGTGTCAGTGTTGACTCCTGTGCAGCTGCAGGTAGATGTGCAAAGGCAGCTCCAGCTGGGTGCTCCCTCTGGGGGGTTCTCTGCAGAGTTAGTTTGACCCAGGCTCCTGTACTCCAGTTCCTAAATGGATGCACAGGATCAGGCACTCTTTTTGCTTCCCTCAGAGTGGGACAGCAGATTGTGAGCCCAGCCCTCCTGCATGGCATGTTTGTTCCCATGCTGGGGCTGGAGGGAGGGTGTCCTTTGGTCTGTGGCACGTTAATGACAGGCAGTGTGCAGGTGGTCCCTGCAATCCTCCTGCAAAGGGAGCGTTCTGCAGTGGTGGGGCTGGTGAGGAGATGTTTTCTCTGCACTGTTACGTAAAGGTGACCCAGAAATGGTTTCCATGGCAGTGGGATGTGCTCCGTGGTGCTGGCCCAGGGCTCAGAGCAGGCCCCACAACACAAGCACGTTGAACATTTCAGCCCGTTCGGGAGCGACTTTCAAATGACTCTCGAAGCCTGGTGACATTTTTGGGTGACTGTCAATCCTTTGGTGGATGAGTCAGTGGTGTCTGAGCCCTGGGCATGACAGATGTTTGCTCAGGAGCAATTAGCAGCCAGGCTGCCTCCTCCTGCTGTCCCCAGAGCTGCTCTGAGCTGGTGGGAGCTGCAGTGCCTGACAGGAGAGCGAGCTGTGCTGCTGCCTGTGCTGGGCTGGCACTGCCCGTGCAATGCCTTTGATTTCCACAATTCACATGAAAACAGAACAAAGATCCTTTAAAAGTAACATTTAAAAGTAACATTTTTATCTAAATGTATTTTTTTTTATGTTGAATCGTCTCACCCTCCACATATTCTCCCTTCTTTTTTCCTAATTTTTGGCAACCTTCAGAGGTAGAAAATCCCTCACAAAAGACTTGACCTCACCTTTGTTAGAGAACTTTTTTCCACTTGTAATTGTGAAAAGAATCAATGAGAAATAACCAGCAAACCCCAAACTATCAAACAATAAAACCTTGAGGTACAGAAATTACATCAAATTGTAACACTCAAAGACTCTGATGACCTTTTTGCTTTTCAGTGAGGATGTGGGTGAAATCACTTGAATACTGATAATTTTTCAGTGTCACCCTACAGTCCTTGTTTACTCCTTGACAAAGATAAGTTATCTCATAGTTCTTTGAGGCAGGATCATAAACCAGTAATTTATAATGCAATTTGTTTTGTGCTTGCAAGAGCACTATTCCTCCAACCCATCCCAGGGAACAGCTCTGAGGGGTTGAAGCCCTTAATGATCCTCTTATCCCACCCCCTGCCATGGGCAGGGACACCTTCCACTATCCCAGGTTGCTCCAAGCCCCGTCCAACCTGGCCTTGGACACTTCCAGGGATCCAGGGGCAGCCACAGCTTCTCTGGGTAACCTGTGCCAGGGCCTCCCACCCTCACAGCCAGGAATTCCTTCCCACTATCCCATCTAATCCTGCTCTCTTTCACCTTAAAGCCACCCCTGTTGTCCTGTCCCTCCATCCCTTGTCCCCAGGCCCTCTCCAGCTCTCCTGCAGCCTCTTCAGGTACTGGAAGGGGCTCCAAGGTCTCCCCAAAGCCTTCTTTTCATGCTGAGTTCACTCTTTTTTATTTCCTATTTTAACTTAACCAGCTGTCTGTGCTCTGTGCTCCAGGCTTTGGCAGACATGGAAATTCAACCAGACCTCTGCCTACTTTGCTCCCCTTTCGTGAGTTCCATCACACAAAAATATGGTTGTGCTGGCAGGAGGAAAACTGGCCATGAATTTGCTGCCTGGCTGTGGCTGGGGCTGAAATGCCAGCCAGGAATTCTAGAACTTCCTCTGAGGCTTTTCATTCTCTTCTTTTGTTCTACTGTTAAAACAGTCTGGATAGATGGGGGATTAAGTCCAGGAGTGGGCAGTTCTTCAGACAGAGTCTGAAAGAGTTCCAGTTTAGAAAAATACAAGCATTTTAGGAAGAAATGCCATTTAAGAAGTGAGTCTCACTTGGGAAGTGTGTTTGTCAGTGAAGAAGAGAGTGAGCTGCACAGAATAAGGAGATTTGGCTTTGCCAAGCTGAGCTCTTCTAAGAACCTGAGGTCCTCAGTCCAGCTGTGGTGTCTGATGCTTTCATCTGCAAGGAAAAATGGTAATTTGAAAAAGTCAAGGGGACAAAAGAAAGTTGAGCTGTTTTGGCATCCCGAGGCAAAAAGAAGAGACGTGAAAAGTAGAACAGAAACCAAAAAGGAACTCTGAAAATTCTGGTATCTTGAAAATAAAGTGTAATTAAGGAAATGATTTAAATTGAATTTCAGACTAAGAAACACTCTCTATAGGTTTTATGGTTTGTGGAATTATACATAAAATTCTTAAGAAAATAAGATAACACAATACTAAAGGATTCAGTGCCTTCAACTCCATGAAATTATAAATCTGAGAGAGACCCTTTGGCTGATAATGCAAAGTGTCACACACATGCTGGGAAAGTCTCGTGTCACTCGCTCATACCAAGCAATTCTATTTTCTGCAGCACTGTTTAAAAGTGTTCCCTTCTTCTTAACCCAAACTACCTTCCACCACTGCAGTGGGAACTCCTGATATATGAAGTTATTCAGTGATTGTCCCATTTATTTCCACTGAATCTGTGCTGAGTGGTCACTGCCAAACACTCCAGAGAGAGTCCCAGTGGAAAGAAAGGGAGTAATTATTGAATAACTTCATAGAACAGGTGAGCTTCAGTGTAATAATAGTTCATAGCTCATATAAAGTAAAAAATAATGGGAGGAGGAGACTCCTCTTGAACAAAGGGTGTGCAGACCCTGAGGTTATCCCAGAGGGAAACAGCCAGAGGGGAAGTGAGGAGGGCACTGGGAGGGGAGGGAGGTGGAGAATGACTGTTTTGCTGGGGTAAATTCCATTATGGAATCTCCAGTGGACACGACTGGGATGAAACAAACTGTCCTTTCTGTAAGTTGGAATTTTTCCTGAGGAAAAAATTCAACTGAAATGAGGAATGAGCATGATGGGGAGGGATAAAATCTCAGCCGTGGTGTCAGGCCAGGGTTCACCAGAATGGCTCAAAGCCAATGTAATTAAGTTGCCTTTGCCCTTTTACAGATGTCCCTTGGTTTTTTAACTGGAAAAGCAGCACAGGGCCCTTCCAGAGGCAAACCCTGAGGAACCCTTCCAAGCTGCAGCTGCAAAGCAGGTTCACAGCACGTGCACCCTCCCTGGGATGGTTTTTTCCTTACTGAGAAGCCAAGAGGCAAGAGAATGGCCATTTGTTACCATTTGGTAAATACACAGTAAACCAAAGTGTTTGCAGAGATTGGAGGCACTGGATTTGTGCTCGTGCTTTTTAAAAGGAAGGCTCGTGATTGTGCTTTATCTTTTCAGGTTTTGCTATACATGGATCTTTTTTTTTTTTACCAAATCTGTTCAAACTGGGTAGCTGTTCCCTGTACACACTGTACATCACCCCATGGAAGCCTGCTTGCTTTTGAGGCAGGGCTAGAAATTTCTCAGCCCCATTGATTTCAAATCACATATTTATACAGGGTTGTATGAAATATTTAGCAGCCTCAGCAACACTACTGACAGGATCAGGGTAAAACGTGAAGGTAAGAGATATAAGAAAAAAATCAATTGTAAATTTTTCAAGTGCTTTGCATTGCCTCTGACTTCCAGCACGAATTTGGCTGAGGGTTGTTTCTTGATCCATCCTGAAGACCTGCAAGTCTGATTTGCTCCATATGAGTTACTTTTTGGAGTGAAAATAATCAGCTTTAATCATTAAAAAGTTAATTGGCTCACGCTGATGTATCACAAATTATTCTGACACAGGCATTTCTTAAAGAAATAATAATGTTACAGGATTTGAAGCTAACTTAGCCAGATAGGATTTTGCTGCTTCTTGTGACAGTGAAATGCTGTTTATTTATTCACAAAAGCTTCTTTTTATCTCAACTGCATCTCCCTCAACACCAGCTCAGGCTTGCAGTGACATGTTCTGGTTTCCAGTTGCAGTTCAGGTGCTTGGATAAACTGGGCAGCACCAACTCAGCCCATAATGCATCAGGACATCCCTTTATTTAATTGTCTGGGTTTACAGAAATGCCTTAGAAAGTGAAGTGGGAACCCAGTGGGGAAAAAGATGCTAAAAGTGTACAATGAGCACAGCAATCTCCAGGTGTGGATCCAGGGAACACTGCAGGTTCCAGGGGTGGCAGCACCTGCAGCACAGGAGTATCCACAGCCACTGAAATCCTGCTCCTGAGCTGGCTCATCTGCACCCACAGACCCTGCTGAGGTCAGGATCTCCTGGCACCTTCTCTCTCTGGACTCTCACAACATTCCTGGGAAAGGCTGAGACCTGCACAGAACACAAAGTGACACTTCTTGTTTTTTTCAGACAATGAACCCAAGCAGGGAGTTCACTTCTGCTCCTCTCAGTTGGTACCTGTTTGTAGTGCACAACATGAGCATGTACTTCACTCTATACCAAGTAAAAATGATGCTCTGGTATGATGTGAATATTGCTATACTTATCTATGTCCTGTCTAATTTACCTTCATGAGAAATGTACATTAACAACATGTATCTATTCTTAAATTCTTCCTCTGGTAAACTAAAAAAAAAAACCCAAACCAAAAACACCCAACCGGGTAAAAAACCATTGAACAGAGTTTGTTTCATTGTTTGCAAAACATCTTTTTTTTTTTTCTCCTGTGAAATGAAAATAATGCAAATTTTGGTTACCAACAGGGCTCTGATGTAGCACAGTTTTTAATGGAGTTGTGTGAACTACACAGCGTATTCTGAAGAGAAAGAAAAATCTTCTTATTCCCCAGATTGCATTGTGGACCTTTTTGATGTGTAAAACCATTTTCATGGGAGAAAATCATACAGGCACAGTTGAATGGTCTTATTTCCTGGGTGGCATTCTCTCAGGCAAATCATTCCACATTCCTAAACGATCTACAGTGTATCCTTTAATAACATAAATTCAGTGGGATCATTTAGGAACTCTGCTGCTTTAATTTCTGTGTTTGCCAGCTGAACGAAACATTGAAAGCATCTTGGAAACAACCTATTTTTGTACCTTTGTCCCCAGGAATTGTTTTATTGCTGGTTAAAATGTCGTGTGGCACTATGATTAGGCCCAGCTTTTGACACCAATTCTCCTGCTGGTGGGGTCTGGCTTTGTGTCTGTTCAGTGTCATTGAGAGAAATTAAACTTGAGAACCAAGTTGTGCCCTGCACGTGTCGTTTGCCAACTTGACAACAACAGCTTTGCACAGGGAATTTTCCAACCCTTCCTTTCCCTGAGAGACTGGGAACAAGATTGCTTTGGACGTTTTTCAAGCAGTTAAATTTGACTTTTTATGTAAAGTCTGACTGCTGTCAGGAGAGACTCTTGCAGATTTCTAAGGCATCTCTGTAATTGCAAATACAAAATTCAGCAGAGCAATAACAAATCGAACTTCAGAGTTAAATAAGGTGAATAATTGAATCAGAAATACAAAGCCTCTAAAAGCTGCCCTGCTGGCACACACAGCTGTGAGTGTTTGTCCCACAGTCACTGTCAGCTGTGCATCCAGGAAGCTGTTTCCTCGCCAGGGATAACACAGGCTGGCACCAGAGCTAAACACTGTGCCCAGCTCACAGGGCTGCAGAGCTCAGTGGGCAGGTGAGTGTGGCTGGAACAGTTTCATGTGGTGAACCAGGACAGTCCCAGAGCCAACCAGGACAGTCCCAGAGCCACCTCCAGGGATGGGGAGGTTCCAGGGAGACAGGCACAGACCCCTCCCCAAGACAGGGCTGGGGACCAGCCAAGGAACTGCTGCCCTTCCCAGAGGAACCACTGCCCTTCCAGAGGAACTGCTGCCCTTCCAGAGGAACTGCTGCCCTTCCAGAGGAACCACTGCCCTTCCCGGGGCACCACAGCTCGGATGGCAGGGCTGGACCCCTCGGGTGCTCTTGGGCAGCGTGGGGGTGGCTGAGCCGGGCGCTGTGCCCACCCCTGTGCGATGCCCGGGGCGATGCTGGGCCGTGCAGTCGCTGGTGCTGCGGCTCAGCACGAGATCACCAGGGGGTTGGACAGGGCCTGGGGGCTCTGCCCCTGCTCCAGGGGCTCCTGGTGGAGGAGTTCACAGCCTGCCAGCTCCTGCTGGAGGGTATCCAGGACTTCAAACAGGTGGGCTTTGCCTTTTAAGAGAAAATGGCAAACATTAGCATTTGAACAAAGACAGAAAGTTGAGTTTCACAATCATAACATGCTCTTTTCTTCACAGGTGCCATTTCAAGTAATTATCATAAAATGTCTAAATTTTGCTACCAAATAATGAATTCCTGTCCATAAAAAAACATGAGCAAAACTGTGCTTGACTGTTTTCTCTGCCAGTTCTCTTCCTTCACACTCTGCCCACTGAGGTGTCATATGTGGTGTGAACAAAGACTATTTCACGTCACAACTGAGAGCTGCCATTCCAACCATCCACTTGGATGGCCAAGGCAAGATGTTTGATTACAAAGACTTAGGAGAGCTGCTGAACTCCTGCCAAGTGCAGAGCCAGGCAGTGGGAGCAGAGCAGGTGAGCTGTGCATGGCACTGGTGGTGCAGAGTGCACAGAGGGCCCTGCCTGGAGGTTTTGGGAGCTGAGCTGTGCTGCTGTTCCAGAGGGGCTCTGTTTCAGCAGCATCACTTGAGTCCATGTTCCTGCAGCAGGATCTTCTGGACACTGTGCTGTGGATACAAATAGTCTCTTCTGTTCTCACCAGAAGAGCACCAGACCTGTGGCTCAGTTCCCCTCTGTGTTGGTGTCCTGGAGCCTACAAAGCTCTGTCTTTGCCTTCTTCTCTCTGCTTCCTCTGTGCTGGAACAGCACAACCTGTGCCCTGGATTTCTGGGCAGGAGTAACAACGTGGCTTTGAAGCTGCAAAACCCAGGAGGGTTTGCTACTCCCTGTAAATAAAATTCTCCAAATCTAACCCTGGCCTTTTAGAATCTTGTCTTCGACTCCTGCCTGCCTATTTTAAAAGCACCTCCGAGCCCTTTTCTTGGTACAGGCTGTTCATTTCTGGAAGGTAAGTACAAGTGTTCTGCTGATGGGAACAAAGTAATCAAACCTCATCCTCGGGGCTGTGAGCCCTGTGTGGCTCCTGCAAAGGCAGCTCTGGCACAACAGAGCACTGTCAAGGGACAGGGTCTGCAAGTTTAATCTTCATAAGAGCAGCACAAAAGGTTAGTATTAGAGGAGTGCAGGTCTGATGTGGTTTCTGCACAGAACTGTTGTGATTTGTGTATCTGGTTAGTGTGGCAGCAGAGGAATTCAACACACAGTGGGATGGCAAACCCAATAAATAGCTGCCTTAAATACTTGGTCATGTTTTCCACTTGCTAATGTCAGTGAAGCTCTACAAACATTAGCGGGGTACTGAGTTGCTCTCCTAAGGCAAAATTCTGCCTAAAATTTGTTGAAACAAGTGCCCTGGATGTTTTTAATGTGTCACAGGCTAGAAAGAACCACTTTCTATAGGTAGTCCCCTCATTCTCCCCAGCCTGCAGCCCAGTGTTTGAAACATCTTTTTCCTCTTCATCTGTGTATTATCTGGTATTTGTCCCAAAAGGATCCTTTTGGTCCTTACACATGATTTATTTGCTTACCAGGCTGGGGGGCACGGCAGGATTCCAAAGTGCTCAGCAAGATTTTCCCCAGGGCTCTCTTGGAGATGTTCTGTAAAAAACCAAACCAACGTCATGGCACAAATACATCCCCCACCAGTTTACATGTATGCAACAAAACCTGTGTGCAGGGCATTTGCATTGGCAAAGTAAACCAAAATAAAAATGAGCCCTGAGTAACACAAGACTTGATGTTTGCTTCACTATCAAGGATTTTTATCTTAGACACTGCCCAGATAACAGCAGGTTGTGGGGGGCTGCAGTTCATTCACATGGCTGTAGAAAGAGAAATAGCAACTGTTCAGTGGGAAATACAGAATTTTCCAGAGCTGTGCCTGAAGAAATCTAGAGGGCAAGAAATGCAAGCAGGGCATGCACAGCCAGGACTTGCTGAGTGTCTGCCAGGCCTGGGTGGGATGTGCACGGATGGACCTGGTGGTGTCTCTTGGGATGCAATCAATATTAGCCAAAGTGAGAGCATTGTAAAGACTACCTAGGGTTTGGATGGTCTTTTCCAGTGGTAGCTTTACATAAGAAATCTGCTGGGCCATTACATCACGCGCCTGGGAAAGTAGGGTGCTGTGGGAGCTGGCAGCACACAGCACCCTGCCAGCAGGGATTAACAGCAGGTGCTGCTGTCACTGAGATGGGGCACGTTGGGTGAGGGGCTGTCCCCTGTGCAGAGGTGATTTGTGAGAATGCAACTGACCAGTGAATGACACGCTGAAGGCCTGACACAAAAGGTTATTATTCTTGTTGCCATAGTCTTTACTAGTTCAATCCTTCACTGGATTCTTACTGACACACGTGTTAGACTTGCAGTACGAAAGTAGAACTTCCATGTCAAGTGCTAAAAGAAGCGACAAAATGATGAGGGATTGCACTTGTTCCTTGGATTCACCAGTGGAGCATTAGTGGACCTCAAACAAAGCGAAGTGATGGTCTGAGGAACCAGTCCCACCTCACCCAGACTGGGCTCAGAACTCATTACCCAAGGAATCAGTTGGTGGCAGTCCAGTGCAGCTCCCAACACACTCAGTGTTCTGCAGATCATCCAATTTTCCTCTCTTTTGGTGACCATTATCAGTCCCAAGCAGGAGATTCAAACTCCTCTTCCCAAGGGCTGAGCTGCTGTACTGCTGTACTGGATGTACTGCTGAGCTGTTATTGCATCAGCAGTAAGCTCATGTTTTGATTATTAATTGGGTAAGAAATTTTGTTCAAAAAATGCCTCATTGCTATATAAAAGGGGGGGTTATCCCTTTAATACTGACTCAGTCTTACATTAGGATGCCCTGTCCTAGAAGGAAAGATAAATCTGTTAGAATCTGATTCCTCACTTTTTTCGTTTTCCTCATTTCCTCCAAATGTTTGTTCAGAGGATAACAAGCCTTGAGATTCAGCTTCAAGATCATCTCTGGGCTTCTCTCAAAAAGTCAGCCCCAGCTTTCTGCAGTCACCAGGCACTTCCCAGGGCAGACACATGGAAGAACATGTCCTGCTGTGAGGGATTTTGCACTTAAATAGAAGGGATGAATGTACTCTTTAGTTTGGGAAGGACACTGTAAAAAGCAGTTCTAAGGACACTATAAACCCCAGTTTTAAGTCTCAGAACTGCTTCCTTGCCATACCAAGTCTCGGAGTTGTTGAAGAAGCTGTAAAACATCCAGGAGCTTTTCTTCCACCAGCGACAGCCTCACTCTCTCCGTCTCCAGCATCTGCAGCTCCATCTTCAACAGCTCGGCCTCCTCCACCTTCTGCTGCAGCTCCCCCAGCACTGGGACTTCCACCTGGACAGGGACACAGGCAGTGAAAAGCCCTGGAGCTTTTCCTTCCTTGCCCAAGAATTGCAAAGCTGAGTTTCCCCCGCTATGTGGTAAATGCCAGTTCACTCCACAAGAGTCTCTTGAAAGGAAGGACATTTCTTTAACATCCCACAATCAGCAGTTGCTGGGAAATGGATGCAATTCACTCAACACTGGGTGCAGGCAGATCATTCAGAAGTTTTAAATACTCCCATTGCTATTTCAGCTTCCCAATCTTTTTCATTCCCCTTTCCTCCACAAAGCACAACCCACTCGTGTGCCCTTCCCAAGGTTATCATACCTTTATCTGGCAATCCCACATAGCAATCATCTGGACATGCACTGAAACAAGAAGGTTATGTCTTTAAAGCTAATGTCTTTAAAGAATTTTGGTAAGAGAAGAAAAAAAAGCATCTTAAGGAAAAAAAAAGATTTTGGCTCTGCTAAACACTGGCAGCATGTCCAGATTCAACAAGACTTGGGCAGTTCAGAAATTCTGGGCAAGAGGAGTCTCCTCAGACCTGGACCTTGCAGAGCTGAACTGACCTGTCAGTTGTCTCAGACCTCTCTGTGAAAAAATATTTAGATTTGCTTTTTCTTCCAGTGTCAAACCTAAGTGACATATTTTGAACTACAAAGCTGCCACACCGTTTGTAAAAGTAAAGACCTTTGTCTGTCACAGAGCCAGGCCTGTGGCAGACACATTGCTAAAATTGCCAAATTGCTAAAAAGAGCCTGAAAAGCATTATTTGAAAAATACAGCACTTAAATTATTAATTTAAACTGTTGAGAGCACTGAGAGATTTCAGGTTTATTAATAAAAGTAAACCTACCAACCATTATTGTGCCCGATTCTAAAGTCATACCTTTTTTTTGCATTTTTTTGTTGCAAACACAATCTACATATATTCATTAATTTTACACTGAGAAATAAAATCATGTAGGGTAAATGCCAACTGTGCTGGTTTTGATAATCCCTTTTTGTTGTCATCTTTTATCTTCCTTGCAGGTTTAGAAATAAGGAGAGAGTAGATTTGTGTGTGTGTGTGTAAATTGTATCCTAATGAATTTTAACAGATGAGAGGGAACTTCAGTTTCCTAAAACACAAGTGTCATCAGAGTGAAAAAGAAAATAATCCCTGATCCAGACCAAGCCCTCTAGAAGGTCATTTTAGTCTCTGACAGTGCTGATGGTGTGTGTTAATTTGCACTCATTCCCCCATCAGATGCAGACCAGCCTGTTCCATCAGCTCCCCCTGCCCTCTCCATGCCCTGGGAGCGCTGCAGCTCCTTGGAGCGATGCAGCAGCTCCAGAGGTTTGGATCCCTTCCTCTGGTCCATCTGCAAGCAGTGATTTCAGCTGCCCTGTCTGCAGAGAAGTGAATTCAATGTGTGCTTTCCTTTACCACAGTGCAGATTGTCCGTGCTTTGTGAATCCCAGCCAGGAAGGGGCTGGAGCACAAACCTCAGGAGAGCAGCCCAGGGAACTGGGCTGGAGCAAAGGAGGCTCAGGGGGGACCTCACAGGCACCTTTTGGAGGTTTTAGCAGCTGGGGCTGGGTCTCTTCTCCCAGGTAAGATGGAAATGGTCTCAAATTGCACCAGGGGGGGTTTAGATTGGATATTGGGAAAATTTCTTCACCAAAAGGGCAGTCAGGCCCTGGCACAGGTGCCCAGGGCAGGGGTGGAGTCCCCATCCCTGCAGGGATTTGAAAGCTGTGTGGGTGTGGCACTTGGGGACATGGGTTAGTGGTGGCCTTGGCAGTGCTGGGGGATGGTTGGACTCGATGGTTTAAGGGGGTTTTTCCAACCTAAACGGTTCTCTGGTTCTGTTCTGCGATTCTACACCCACAGGGAGCTGTTCTGGTCCCCTGTGCAGCCAAGGCAGAGTCATATCAAATACCAGAGAGGGCAAAAGGACAGCATTTGTTCTTGTTACTGCTGCCTCTTCCTCCTCTTGGTTTGCACTGCTCCCACAGAGCCCACTGTACCTGCACCTGCACCGTCTCCTGTGCTGTAAACTGCTCACCACCTGCTTTCCCCACCGATTACACCTCGGCAGCCACCTGGCCACCTGTAGGGCTGCTGACCTCCTGATGCCTGTGTTTCATTTACACACGTGGGTGTGCAATGGTGCTCTTTAAATGCTTGAGGAGAAAGCAGCTCAGTGCACCATTAAAACATCCTCCCAACCTGTTCTCCCCAGCTGGGCTCCTGACGTCACCTCAACACTTGTAGTAAGATACTGAAAATAATTAAGCGTAACCTGCTTTTAAAACCTGGATGCTGAGGGGATCAGGATGGCCAGCAGTTAAGCCACAGGGCTCAGAGGAGGAGGTTTGTTCTTAGCTCTGTCCAAGTCCCTCAGCAAAGCCTGGTTGGGGATCTGAGCCTTGTTTGTGAAATGCAAATATTACTTTGCCCAAGCCCAGCTCTGGGGAGAAGTCAGCTGCTGGTACCCAACCCTCTTCTAAAAGGGGGAATGTCACAGGGAAAACCCGAGCTCTGGAGTAGTGGGTACAAATATGTTCAGGAAAATTAATAGTTAAGATGCCAAAATCCCCTAGGGAATGTGAGATAAAATCATTATATTGTGCTTGGCACAGAAGTGGAGAGGCAGTTTTTACAAGCAGTGAACCTGAGAAACATTTTCAAAAAGGGAAGAAAACAGTAGCAGAAGGACAGACTGAAGTGCTGAACTGTGCTGTGTAATTTATCCTCTAAATCATGTCCCCCTCAGAGCACTGGAGAGTGGCAAATGGAGCACCAGTTCTTGGGAGGGTGCAAAGATGGTCTGAGGAATAGCAAACCCCCTCAAATCAGTGAATCTGTCAGGTAAATGGATAGGAACTGGAATGGAGGAGGCACTTGGAGAATCCACAGAACATAGTGAAGAATCTATTGGATTTCTCTGGAAGGGTTTATGAATATATATGAATAATGTTAACTCAGTTGATAGGTGTGTTTCAAATAGGGTGTGTTGGTGGATGCTCAGGCAGCAGCTTTAAAGCCAACAAAAACAAATCCTCCAAACCTTGCCCTGAGATACCAAAATCATTGCCAGCTTTAAGGCAAGGGAAGGTAAATCCATGGTAAACAGCTCCAATCCTGGTCATTAAACACGGTGCTCCAACCCACACCCAGCTCTGGAGGTGTCTGTCCCCACTGCCCTGGGAACATCCCCTGCACTGCTTCTCTTTGCTCTGAGCAGCTGCAGGTGCATGATGTTGGGATGAACTTCTCATTTGACCCTCTATGGGTCATAAACTAATTGTCTTTTAATTAGGCTGGTAGTTTGTGTGCAAGCATTTACAGAAAATAATTGGCATTTCTTTGCAACACTGCCCTTGGCAGGATATCACTTTATTCTCAGAATCACTCATGTTTTCTCCATCCATCATCCCCAGGTCAGCACCCTGTCTTCAGCAGAAGCTATTTTTAAATATTGGGCTGTTGGAAAGTAGAACTTCCTAGACATGACAAATTTCAGAGCTCTTGCATCCTCTGGTTTTACAGGCCTTAGACTGAAGCAATTACCAAGCAGCATTTGAGAGTGCTGCCCTTCACTTGCCTGCTGAGGTTGTTGCTTGTTGGCCTTGTTGTTACTTGTCTAATTCTGAGCCCTGAGCAGGTGCAAATACAAGTAAATAGAACAAAGTATAAGGTAATTTTGCCAGGTTCAGAGAAAAGTGTTGGTGGTCTATTTGTGAAGTCAAGATATGTATTTCCAAGGTACTTGATACAGAGCACTTCTCAGCCTTCCAGTTTTCTTTCTGTTGATTACAGAAACAGTCACCTTTATGAAAGGAATTACTTATTATTTGTGTGTCTGTTTGGTAGCATCAACCCCCTCCCCTGTAACTGCACACAAATATAAATACTGGCTTAATAAAAGTAGAAGGGCTTAAGAATAAATTCCTAACAGGTTCCAAATGATTAATCCTGCTGATACCTAATTCCTGTTGCAGCGAGTTGGTGCCTCCCTGCTTGTCTTTAAATCGAGAGAAGCCAATTCCATTTTCCTTCTGGAATTTTGTACCAATCTATGGATAATGGTGCTTTTCCAAACAAGGTGCACAGAACTAAAATCCACCAGCAGAGATGAAAAAGAGGGCAATGTGTTACTGCAGAGGAAGATGAGTAACTGTGGAAAAAGGGATTAAAAGTGGCACTACCTAGAGGAGGGTTTTCCTGTGGGCTGGTGCTCAGAAGCACAGAAGGAAGCTTTGTGTTGTTCCAAGGAATATTGCAGGGGGAAGTTGTCACTGAATGCTGCAAACTGGGTAAGACACAAGTAGGATTTTATCCCGGTTTTAATTTTTTCCCCTCACAAATAAACTCATTTAGTCAAGGGAGAAAATGATACGAAATACTGATAAAACACAAGGGATGGCAACGTGTAAAGAAGTTGAATATTTTACTCTTACTTTAAATATTTTACTGATTCACAGAATCCTTTCAGAACTACTGAAATCTTTATGCTTTGTTTAAAGATGGAGCATAAAATACTGAACAAGCACTAACTGAAGCTGAGGAGAAAGCAGACCAAAGCAATGCACCTGCACTGCTTTTGTTTCACAGAAAGATTGCTGGCACTGCAATCTGTGCTCATCAGTGCCTGCAGTTTGCAGTATTCAAAGAGTAAGATCACATGGCACTGATATCACATGGATATGGCACTGAGACTTTTGACTACATGGTTATAACCTCTGCTGAAGGGGAGCTGGACATGCTGCTGAACCTAATTAATTTTATAAGTAAACCTAACTAATAATATATTATATTATATATTTTATATATTGTTATTCTATATTATTATATATTATATTATATATTATTATATATTACATTATATTACATAATTTATTGTTTAAATATTATTAATGTATATTTTATATAGTTATTTAAATATTAATATTATTTATTATATAATTTATTATAATTTTATTATAATATAATTGATTATAATTATATTATATTATTATATTATATTATTACAACTTAACCTAACTAATTTTATTTACATTTATAAATATATTGCTCTAGGCCCAAGAAACAGGCAGAGTAAACTGGCTGATTTGCTCCAAAGAATTCCAAAAGAGTGAGCCCCTGAGTCTCAGTCAGCTGGAGGGATTTCTTACAAAGCTGCTGTGCTCCCAGGGAGCTGGATGCACATCTCACCCTCCAAAGGCCGTTTCAGGCAGGAACCAAACTCCATATGTAGTGTGAGAGGAAAACATGAGATGTTTGAGCTGACAAATGAGAGACACCAGCAACAGAGAGCAGAATGACCAGAATAAATACAGATATATAAACATTCAGCTCCTTAAAGATACATGAATAACTCCTTCACACTCATTACCTCTTCCATGTGTGGTTCCAGGTTTTTCCCCCCGTGGTCCCCGGGCTCCTCCTGCCCTGGGAGCTGAGGGAGCCCCTCGGGGGGCTCTGCAGGGGCTGCCTCACAGCCAGCACTGCTGCTGCTCTCCAGGTAAGACATCAGCTTCTTCCAGCTCTTTCCATCACACCTGTACGGGCAGTAACAGCACAAGGTCAGTGACACCAACGAGGATGGGGAAGGGTTGGATTTGGAGCCGTGTGAGGACACTGAGGGCACTTGGTGTGTTCAGCTGGAGCAGAGGAGACTGAGGGGAGACCTCCCTGCAGTTCCAACTGCCTGGGCAGGGGCAGAGGAGGGGCAGGACCGAGCTCTGCTCTGGGGGGACCAGGGACAGCCCCCAGGGAATGGCTGGAACTGTGTCAGGGCAGGCTCAGGGTGGATCTCAGGGAAAGGTTCTTCCCCCAGAGGGTGGTTGGCACTGAACAGGCTCCCCAGGGCAGTGGGCACAGCCCCAAGGCTGCCAGAGCTGCAGGAGGGTTTGGATGATCCTCTGGGGCACAGGGGTGACTCTTGGGGATGGACCTGTGCAGGGCCAGGGGTTGGACTTGATGATCCTTGGGGTCCCTTCCAGCTCAGCACGTTCTGGGATTCTGTTAAACCTCCAGTGAAGCTCCATGGTTGTAAAAGCCAATTTTCCTGCAGAACTCTGGGCAGCACAGATCCCAAAAGAGTGTCCAGCTGACACTGGAGAGGGCTCAGCAGGAGCATCCAGCATTGTTGTTCCCATGAACCACAAAGGAGGGGTAAAAGGCTGCTTGATTTTGCCACACAGCATTGCTGCTTCTGCCTGGAGCCACGGGACCTTCAGGCCATGACATTGTCTCTGCAAGGGGTTCAAACAGCACTAATTACTGAATTACACTTACCCACTGCTGCAGCAAGGCAGCTTGGCCAGCGTTTTCTTCCCGTGGCCCCGCTGGGAGGCTTGGTCTCCTGCCCACTTCTCCTCCTCCTCCTCATCAGAGGCAGCCTGGCCCTCCACGGAGCGGAACAGCTGATCCTCTGCTGGGACACAACAATCTCATCCTGTGCTGGACACAACAATCTCATCCTGTGCTGGGACACAACAATCTCATCCTGTGCTGGACACAACCCCTCAGCAACACACCAACCACCCCAATGTGCTGTAGCTGCTTAAACCTGAGGCTGAGCCAGAGAGAAGGGGTGTTTAAAAACACCAGTGAAACCCCAGGAAGGGCCCTCCAGCATCCACGGAAAGGGGCTTTAGGAGTGGCAGGGCAGCTGCAGCAAAGATCCTTGCTTTGGGAGTCTTCAGTGTCCTTTTGCAGGTAATTTGTAGCTATTTCACTTCAGCTCTCTTCTTTCACTAAGTAACTCTAATTTAAGGATAAATGGAAGGGTTAGTGTGGTGTTAGGGGGCAATTACTGCTCAAGGATACAAGTGAATATAGACTTTTGGAGAGGAAAGAGGAAGGATCATGCTGGGTAAGATTGTTCTTGCACAGTCACTGTGCCAGTTGAGCACATATTCACAGGGTAGAAATTGGACATAAATGTTCTCTAATTCATATATTCATTGTGTTTTCTAGGGACAGGAGTTTTATTATAAAAATGTAATATTAGACCCATAGCTATCTAATACTTAGTTATACCTTTTTACCCAAACCTAATGTCTCCTCACATGCCAAATAAATTATAAATGGACTGTCTACACTGTATTTAAATATACCTGTACTATTATAGTAATATGCCAATGCTTTTTTAGCTGTATATTATAAAAGCCATTGCATTTAACTCCTTTTTGTTGCAGGAAGACATTTACTGGGATTATTATGAGGATTAGGGGACTGTTATGATGCCTGTAATTTACTGGGTATTTTTTGGTACATTTAGCACATGAAAAGCACTGGTCACCTCTTTATTCTGAATATGTATTTTGAGCTGATATCAGGTTAAATCAACGCCAACATGACTTTGAATTTTATAATTATTTACCTTAATCACTGTCAGGTTAATTAAACAGTTTTAATGAGTTCTAACAGAGTGATCAAGTCAAATGCTGTTATTTCTTCAAACATTGAGACACATTTGACCTTGGGTAGCGTTACAAGTGTTGTGCACCTGGAGCTTGTTGAGCAGAGGCAGGGAGGGCTCCAGGGGTGGGAGACTCTCAGGTGAAGGATGTTCTGCCTCACTCCAAGGACACAGCACCTGCACCTGCAGCTGGAATATCAAGAGAGGGACTGCTGCGTGTCTGCAGGGGCAGGGAACCCTTGGGAGGGCAGTGCAGCTCCATCTGTGCAGGATCCTGCACAGCTCTGCTCCCAGCAACAAGAAAACAATGGCCTGTTTTCCCTCTCATTTTTTAGTTCTGGTTTACACCCAGCATAAGTTAATGCAATTTTCATTCCAGTGGCATTCAGTGTGCCTAATTTATAGGTTGTGGTGCTCAATAATTTATTGTCTGAGCTTGGTTCCTGCAGGGTTGCTCTTTAATTAGAGAATGAATGAATGTGTGTTCCTGGCAATCTTTGCACCCCATGAACTCGGGGATCAGCAGCACTTGCTCTCCGTGAGGCACAGCCAAACAAAGCCAGCCTTTATTTGCAACCTGTGATACCTTAGGAGTGAACCTTTTTTTATCCCCATTTCTTTTCCTGCCACGGGAGCTCCAAGGGATGACAAGCAGAGCTCCCAGCCGGCATGGCAGCTGCGAGAGCTGACACCAAACTGCGTGGGGGCCCTCGGGAGCTTCAAAACGCCTAATCCTGTAAATGAACTGCAGCATCCGGCACCGCAGACCCTCAGATGAGGTTTGTAAATGTGGAGGAAGAGGCATGTGGGTCTCAGGTGGGCCCAGGTCAGGTGGGCTGTTTGGTTTTCTTCCCCCCACGCAAGGGAACCTCCTCCTCTCCCACTGAAGGCGAGCACGAAAGAGGAGCTTTGACATCCCCCTTGGAGGGGGCAGGGCTGCAACTCAGAGAGCAAATGGAAAACTTCCCGTGCACCTCTTTTAACAGAAAGCCAGGATTTTATGGAAAATCTTTTACTAAGCTGATATTAAAAAATAAAAATTAAAAAAAAATCTGCCAGTAAAATCATACAGCACTTTTTTTTTTTGGTGATATTTAGGCATTTATCTGTAAACTGCCTAATGCAGAAAATCTTACTCAATTCCATTGATGCAAGTGCTCTTCTGCTCTAAGAAATTAATGTTTATTAAAGAGTGTGTATAGAGATACATAAAATAGAATTCATTCTGTATCTAGATTGATTAATTAATTAATTTATCTAGTATACCTAGGTTTAATCCTGGATGTTCACACAATTTTTTTTCTTTGTTCAACTCCCTGAGATAGTTTTCTTTTCAGCCTAACTAATCCTTTTTTATTTGATGGAACAGTTTCCCTGTTTTTAAATCTATAACCCCACAATTTATTTGTATGAAAGGTTTTTGCTAGAAAGCTGTTTGCACTTGAAATAGGGGTAGTAGTTTAATGTGGAAACTGTCTTTGAGTTGGCAAAGTGCATGATTCGATAAGAATATTTGTTGAAGCAGGTTTACTTTCTAAGTCTAACCAGATGAAGAACACACTGCAACGTTAATTGTATTTACATGTCACTGTTTATCACAATCCCAAGCAGCTGCTTGCCAGGTCTATTCAATACACACCTAAAATCTGATTTTCTTATCACTACCAACAGCTCCAGTCTGCAGGAAAGATGCCTCATAATTTAAAGTTATTGCTGGGTAAGTGCTTTTGTGGTCCTTGAACTTGATGTGTCCAAAAAAATAAACGACTGAAGGGAAGCCAAACTGGGCAATGTCATGGCAGTAGTTAGTGCTAAACAGGGTGTGCCTTTCCAGAGTTACTGGAGCAGCCAGGATGTTGCCAAGGAGTGTGGCTGTATGGAATATTAACTGTCAATAGTTTCCTTGGGAATTAGTTTAACTGAGGTTGTGAGTTTTTATTTACAAAGAAAGGAAAACTTTACACTTTTAAGCCAGGAAAAAAGTTTAGGTGAGATGACTCATAGGGGAAAAAAGAGGCAGTTTTAAATAATAGCTGTAAGTAGTAAGCTCAGCCTTTTATTAAATATAAAATTCTGTGGGAGTGAGAAATAGAAATCTGGGATGCAACCTTTTATCTAGGTCTAGGATTTCAGGATTCATTAGGACTGGTTTGTGGTTTGGGGGTTTAATATATTAGTTTTTCTGCTGCTGCCTTCCCGAGTGAGTGAGGATGGGCAGAGCTGTGCTGGGTGTGTACCGTGCTGCAGCCGTGCCCAGCTCCTCCAGCGGGCGCTCCGCGGTGCTGCTGCCCTGCCGAGGGACGGCGTGTGCCGGCTCCCTCCTGCTGCTGCTGCTCCTGATGCTGCTGCTGCTCCTCCTCCTCCTCCTGCTGCTGCTGCTGCTCCTGCTCCGGCCCCCTCCCTGCGGGCACCTGCACCCTCTGCATCCCCGACCTGCAAAACAGGGCAGAGGGAGGTGGACTTGGAGGAAATCGGAAAACCAACCAACCAACCAAAGGGTTTCATTGTTCTTCTGATACTAAGAACGAAAGAGTACTTAACCACTTTAGTTCAATTTACAGAATCCCAGAATGGGCTGAGCTGGAAGGGACCCACAAGGATCATCCAGTCCAACCCTTAGCCCTGCACAGGTCCATCCCCAGAGTCACCCCCTGTGCCCCAGAGGATCATCCAAACCCTCCTGCAGCTCTGGCAGCCTTGGGGCTGTGCCCACTGCCCTGGGGAGCCTGTTCAGTGCCAACCACCCTCTGGGGGAAGAACCTTTCCCTGAGATCCACCCTGAGCCTGCCCTGACACAGCTCCAGCCATTCCCTGGGGGCTGTCCCTGGTCCCCCCAGAGCAGAGCTCAGTCCTGCCCCTCCTCTGCCCCTGCCCAGGCAGTTGGAACTGCAGGGAGGTCTCCCCTCAGTCTCCTCTGCTCCAGCTGAACACCCCAAGTGCCCTCAGTGTCCTCACACGGCTCCAAATCAAGGCCCTTCCCATCTTCATTGCCCTCCTTTGGACCCCTCCAATGGCTTCAGATCTTCCTTACATTATTTAAAGGCATCCAGAACCTACACATGGAACAGTCTGCCCTGGCCATGCCCCTCCTGCCCGTGGCAGTGGGTGCTCTGTGTTTGCCGTGGGCACCTCAGCACCCACGAGGGCTGGGGCAGAGATCCTGCCCCTGCTCCCCTGGGCTCAGAAACGTCAGGCAGGTTTGACCCAAGTCACCTGAGTACTGGAGGTGAAGCAGTGTCAGCCTGAAAAGTCAAAAAGGATGCTCCAGAAACAGTGCCACACCTGCAGAGCAGGGAGTTACAGGTGTGGAGCCTCTTGGCAGAGCTGACACCTCACTGGAAACGGTGTCCTGAGTGCAGTGAGGGGATGTGGTTTACAGGAAAGGGCTTTCCAGGGGTGCTACACAGATCAAATAACGGAACTGATGAGTCCTTAAACGTGCCAACAAAACGTATTTTGAAAACAGTGACTGAAGTCAGTGAAGGGCAGTGGTTGATGTGACTGAGGACTTTCAGGTTACCCAAATGGACACCACTGGGGAAGCGCCTTGGAGGAGGCTCAGGGGGACTCCTGTCAGGAAAGATCACGATATATGTACGTGTAGTTGAGTTAACAATGTTCTACCCCAATCCAGGAGAGACCTAAACACGTAAGAGAGCACAAATCACTGAGTGTAGTGCAATGGAAGCTCTTACTGTACATGAACCAAATTCTAATAATGTAGACATTTTCCAACAATTTAATAAAATACTTCTTTTGGTGTGAAATGCCAGTCATGGTGAGTCCATTGGAGCTACTACTCTCTTTTTATCAGGGTACATTTGGTTTGGTTCAGTTTGGCTCCCCTACCTAGGGATGTTCTGAGGGGCAGTATTGCTGTTTAAGAGGGAATGCAATGGAAGCAAACAATATAGCTGACAAAGAAAATTAATTCTATGACTCCTATTTCCTTGCAAAATAGTAAATAAAGTCTATGAAATTGAAAGGCAACACATAATGCTGAATTTATTCTAAAGATCTTGGGTTTTTTCAAGCAATATACATAATATGCTCCTTATTTCCATAAAATCATACTGAAATAAGAGCTATGGAGAATTTAAGAAATTATAATATAGTAAGAAGCTCATATTGCCAGTAGGGGCTGTTGTGTAGTTCACCAAGAATCTACTTGCAGGAGAAAACAAACCAAATTCAAGAGTTCTGTAGTGAATTAAGTTCCTCCAAATTCTTCCTAAGATTACTTTTGGACTGGCAAATATTGAATATTCCTTGTACTTTTAACACATCAAATAGTCAGCAAAAGTGAGAGTTCAAACACTTAGCAAATCGGTCCTGCTGAAACAAGTTGTATAACACGACCTTTTTGTACAAATCTTTTAAATCCTTCCTTTAGGTGTTGTGATTTGTAAACTCAGCTGCAGCCTGAGCTGTGTAACAGGGCAGCTGATGCTGAGCTACACATCAGTCTTGCAGAGCTTTGGTTTAATCCCACCCAGCTGCTCCTGCAGAGCCACACCAGTGCTGCTCCCCTCGCTGCCTGTGAAAGTGTATGAAGTAAATAAGATGATGAATTTACAAAAGAGTCAGTATCTGAAAACCTCAGCAGGGACAGAAGCTGAGCTAAGCCCTGCTTGGAAACCAGCACTCACTTGACCCCCCTGAGTAGAGCTGAGTGCATAAAAAACCAATGACTTACTGCATCTGCAATTTGTGGCATTATTTAGCTTAGCAACAACTGGATTTCCTGTAAAGTTAAGGGAAATAGAAATCCCCAGAATGGAGCCTGGACAGTCATTCCAGCTCCGTGAGTTCTGGAAAAAGTCATCATGGAATAGTGCCTGAATAAAATGCACTGTTAAGCTCGGGCATTCACAATGGGGGCTCTGGGACAGCTACTGGGGGACCTTCCTGCCACAGGAATATTGCATTTTATGGTTCTGAAATGTGCTGATTTCCTTCATTGTGCAGACAGACATATTTTTGGGCCCAGTACTCCATAAGAATCCTTGATTATTTCTTGAGCACTGTAGCTGGTACTTAGCAGATCGCTCTCTTAGTTTTGAGCTGCAGCAGAATTTAGATCTGTTTGGGTTTCAGAGATTCCCAGAGTTAGTTCACATAATACAGAGATGACATTTCAGTAAATATTCATTGTAGTTATGGAGCTGGTTAAGATTTTAACCCATAAAATATTGAGAATATTCAAGTATGATGAAAATCTTCTCTAGCAAGTGTGGGTAAAGGCTGTGATGTTTAACAGGAGATGTGCTGGTGGTATTGACTTCTGACATCTGGCAGCCTGGTGTCAATTGATGTGCAGTCTGAGGAACATTAAGAAGTTTGGTGGGACAAAAAAAACCCTCCCATATAATTCAGGACTTAGAAGCTCCCTCTACTTAAGATGACAGTCAAGGCAAACCTAAATATTAACTGTCACTTCTCTGTTGTTCTTATAAGGGAAGTTGATGAAATACAGAGTAAAACCTTACTATTCTGTAGTAATTACCTTGAGAGGACTTGTCAGCTCTCTCCTGATGTGGAGAAACTAAGGGAGCAACGTAGATGGTGTGTTTTGTTGAGTCTCTGCCCAATATATGGATTAAAGACAGCCCTGCCTGTCTACTCTGGAGATGTTCAGCTGGGAAACTGGAAAGAAATGTAAGTTTTGAGTCAAAGTTTTCAGACCCAGGTGGCACAGGCTCTCTCCTTTGCATCAAATCACGTTATGCTTTAGTTTCCCCAAGAAGAAACACAACGGAGTCCGTGTCCCTTACACCTGAATAAAAAGGCAGGTGAAAATACAGCCTTCTTTTCTTGCCCCACACATAGAAATTATTTCAAGATGTTCAGGACAATGGGCAGATTTGAAATGTGTGTGAAAGGAATGTGCGGCCAGGCAAGCTGGAATTTCAGAGCCAGAAAAAAATGAGGGAAAAAAAGCAGCAGCAGCATCACGAGTAGATGTGGAAACTTCTAAAACCCAAGGGATTTTGCACTTGATCAGGTAAAATACCATGTCGAGGATCCACTGGAAACAATAAAACTGGAAATTTGTTGGTTTGGTCTGTCTTGCCAGGAGTCCAATGTTTATCCCCAGCAGTGCCCAGGGAAGGTGGCAGGAAGGGACAGCACCAAGAGCCTGGTGACAGAGGTAAAGGGAGGTAAACTCCATTGTCTGTGCAATGGAGTTCCAAAAGAGGGATCTATAAACACAGGTAATTTTCATTGGCATCATCCAAACCCAGTTTAAGGCATTAATCTGCCAAGTTTGGTGCCAGAGGTCAAGAGGCAGAGCTGGAGGTGGTTTTAGCTGTACAGAGGGGCAAAGGGGCTGCTGATGCTGCTCATGGAGCTGCAAAGGCAAAAAGTGGCATTTCTTTAAACCAGAGCTAAAAATTAGATGGATTGAAGAAGATTCTGATCAGAAATATCACACAGAAGAAGAACAGCATTAAGGACATTAATGGATGTTTGCTGTCTTTTGGAAGAAAGGGGCTGTTTCCTTCCTTTAGTGTTGCCATGACATGGGATCCTACATCCACTTTGGAGGATATTTCAAATTTCTGACTGGATTTTCTCTGGTTTTTTTTTGGTCTTTAAAGCAGATGAAACCACACAGCACAGAAAGTTTAATTTCTTAGGGCTGCTTAGGTCCCATTGTTGGAGCACACAGGATTTCATCCTCGCTCTCAGGGGAGGTGATGGAGGCATGGATGGAGTCGTGGTGGTGCTCTTTGGTGGCAGAGCAATGAAACACCGCGATTTCCCCATTTCTCATCATGTGATTCAACCACTAGGTCACCTTTCTCTATCTGGGAGCTCTTTCTTTTCTTTAGTGCCAAATCTGCACTCTTAATTTTCAAGTGACAGAGGTTTGGGGGTTCAAAGAAGAGCATAACAAGAGAGGCCAGGGCTTTGGCCGTCATGGTAAATGCTGAAGGGAGGAATCCTCTCTCACTCCTAAACACAGGTTTAATTCTTTTCTCATTAGTATTCAAACAGCATCCAATGGCTCTTCATAAACGAGGAGAAGAGTGAATAAACAGCACATTTGTTTAGGGCAGAGATCAGAGGGGAGCGGGGCTGGAGGTGCCTGGGAAGGGTTTGTGGCAGCGTGGGGAGGCTCCTATGGAGACAGGCAAAGAGCCCCATTCATCTCTGCCTTTGTGCTGAGCATAAAGGGCGGCCCAGGGAAGGAACAGTGAAGGGGGGAGAGTTTGCAAAGTACTGGACCTTAAAGCAATGTCCATGACTAATTGGCTTTTAATTGGCTCTCCTGTATTGTTATGGAAACATCCAACTGCAGCAAACCCCACCTGCCTCTGGTGCCGAGCAAGTCTTGAACTTAAATAATTCCTGAGTAATCATAAAATGGCTCTGAGGAATTATTAACTTCACCCTCATAGCCTTTAACTCGTCTCTTTTAGAGACTT